GGTCGCGGGATTTGGCTTATCTGGTGCTATTCGGTATCTAACCCCAGTAGCTCGTTCTACCCTTTCACTATTGCAGAGTAGCATATCCCTAATATTGGTATTTCCGAAATCAACTAGAATTGGCCTAACTATCCTGAACCAATCAGATTGTTCAACTGGCCAAATTAAAGTATTACACGGACCAATCATAAGAACACAACTGATGCAGTAAAATGAACGATCAATTTAAACAACACTCCAACACACTAAGGATATCCCGAGCTCTTCGACCGTCGATATCCGACCGGACCTTCGCGTCTTTTATGACTGGTTCCTCGTGGTTCAAAATGAGGACACTTCTGTTTCGGCCCGTCATCAGTTCTTTTGCACTTTCTAATTCAGACAACTCGTTCTCAAGGTTAGCAATCCTCTGCTCTAGGCATTTGATCGATTGCTTCTGGTCTAGATGAGTGGTCTCGGTTGGCAGTACTGCTAGGTTCGGTGACCTTATTTGTGCGCTTTCGAGTGGTGTTCTCTGTCATGGCTACGCACAAGTCACACATCCACTGGAGTATATTCCATACGCCCTTCTGTCTAAGTGGGCACAGCCCGGGTGATATCAGTAGCCCCAACAGTCGCACTGTATCACGCTAGAGACTGACCTTTTACATTTCTGCGCACCGCAGAATTCTACTTTCGACATTCTTCCACGCTTACTGTTACGAAGAAAGCTCAAGGTCTACGATCGAGAACTTGAATTCCACAAAACATGCGTTAATCTTAGGATAACCACAAGATCAGACACGTGCGGACTTATCGAAACGTTTGTTCGAAAATTTCTAATAATCCCTAACGGCCTGTAAAATCAGGTGGGTATGCACTCCAATTTTGTTCTAGCGAAACTATTACGATTTCTGAGAGCCTTTTGCATCGCGACAGAATTTTCAAACACGCATCTGGTGTAACGCAGTTCAGTCAGTCAGTTGAAATTGAGTTGCACTGTAGTGTGAACTGGAGCATTAGAACAACAAAATACTCCACTCAACAAGTCTGCAATATAGTTCGTTTTCACTAACATCACGACCATGTTTCGACATCTTATGGTATATTATATTAGGCCATTATTGTACGTTGCCTGCAATGATCATGCATCACATGCATGTCTCTCGTTGTAATCCGAGAAATATACCATTATTATTATTATTATTATTATTATTATTATTATTATTATTATTATTATTATTATTATTATAGGTCAGTTAGCCTAATGTGTTCTATGTAAATGCCTAGAACGTATCGTGAAGCGACAATTATGTGAGCATCTTGTGGTACACAGCATAACAACACCCGCGCAGCATGGATTTGTGACAAGCAAGTATGACAAATTTGCTGCTGTTCCTAGGTAATGTGACCAGGAGACTCGACGAAGGCCTCACTGTGGAAGCCTGTTACACGGACTTCAGTAAGACTTTCGACTCGGTCAATCAAAGATACCTGGACCACAAGATGCAAACAGTAGGCAATACAGGGAGGGCCAGGACTTGGGTGAATAACTTCTTCAAGAAGTTCAAGAAGTAAATGGTCAGAACCCCAAGGATTACGAGGACGGACTTAAGGATTTAAACTTGCTTTCTCTTCAACGCATACGCATAAGGGAAGACTTGGTTGGAACGTTCAAAATAATGAACGGTTTGTCGGGCATCAAAAACGAGGAACTATTCTCTGCGATCCTGGCAAGTGGTACCAGGAGGCATGGCTTCAGACTTCAGCGAATTCACAGTAGGCTGCAACTCCGGGAAGGTTCTTCACCAACAGGTTGATCCCACCGTTGAATAGGCTGCCAGAAC